TTTCCGAAAAATGTCATAACTATTATTATTCGTGTGTGTGTGTGTGTGTTGGACAAACGCTTCATAACTAATGTAAACCAAGTCGGACAAGGCAATTGATTCACGCGCCAAGTAGCACGTACGCTTGGAATGGAGACTTTGAGATTAACCAAAATTTTTTTAATTCACAGGGATTTAAACTTGTTAGTTGGTTAAGGGTAATCAAATTGACAAAGCCACTTTGAAACAGATATCAAACTCTTGATGCGTATGAGAACCGATAATGTATATGAGATTGGAATGAGAAATGAAAACATATATACTCATCTAATCTTATTTATAGGGCAGGGAGAGGATTTTTTTTTGTCTTATTTATAGGTCACTGAAAGAAATTTTTTGTATGGATATACAATTTTATCTTTCATTTATTATTGTGTTGACTTTATTTACATGAGGTATATATAGTGTATATTAATTAAATAGAGATAAAATTAAAAAGTTATTAAATTTTAAATGAAATTAATAAAATTTAAGGTTTTTCTTTGTATGAAACATTTTGAAAATAACTGAAAGTGTGTGTGTGTGAGAGAGAGAGAGACTTGTAGCCCGAAAATGACCCTCCCCGTGTTACTTTAATCTGTCTCTATACTATTAACCCTCTCAAAAGCAAAGAGAAAGACCGCTCCCCAATGACGATGAAATTAATGACGAACAATTATTTGTTCAAGCCGTTTATTACAACTCACTAAAACAGGTATGGGTGAATATATAATTTGAGTTTTGGACGAGAAATAAAAGAGTTCTTGTTAGAAATAAAAGCTGTTACCTGGTGAAAGCTTTCGCACATTATATATATATATATATCTCCCCTTGAGGCTGATGTCCAAAAATAAGATTCAACTCGATGAAAATGAACCTGACAAGTATCAGTATCAACCCATCCCACACAGTTCCAACTAATTAAACAAGTAATTATTTCTATATATTTATTACAACCGAATTAAACAAGAACTGGCAGATCAATGGAAATCAAGCTCAGAATCGAAAACATAAGCATATAATGTTTCATCTCTGCGAGCTAGAATTTATTCCCCCAGGCGCCCCCCCCCCCCACACACACAATTGCATTCTTCCTAACGAAGCCATCCCAGTTCAAAGTCTCCACCACTCCACCGGCCACAATCTGCATCAAAACGAAATCGGGGATGAGCATACAATCTAAAAATTTAAAAGAGACAGATTGTACATCATACTTGGAGTAGTTAATATTTGAGTTTTGGACGAGAAATAAAAGAGTTATTTTTAGTCATATATTAAAAATATAGCCAACATGCGAAAGCTTTTACCAGGTAACAGATATAATTATTGCACACACACATGTATATATACACTTGAGGCTGATTTCAAAAAATAAGATTCAACTCCATGAAAACGAACCTGACAAGTTTATGGGCTCAACTAGAGCTGGGATCATCATGGTTTGCTGGAGAAGATCTTGTCGCGGGTTGGGATTGGAGTGGGAGTTCTTATAGAATTGGTGGTGTGAGGAAGTGGCGTATTTGCTGGGGAAAAAACCTGCTGCGTGGTTGGAATTTGAGTGCCCTTAGCAGTTGCTGGAGGGTTAGAGCCGACCTGAGTGTGATGAGTGGAGGGCGTAAGAACCGTCTGGATATTGATGCTTTCAGAATTCATAGTGGGGCTTGGCTTTAATCTGAGGATCTCTGAGATATAGAGAAATAACCTTTTTCAAGTAGATGACAGAGAGATAATTTCACATACTGAAGCTTAACCAGTGGTCATCCAGCTAGCAAGTTCAAGCACGCAATAACTAATACCCTTACCTTGGACACGTATATACATGCAACGTCCTCGCATCAGTGCTTTCGTTGGTGTGACGTCTTTCAACTAGTCATCTAAAATTCAACTAAGCAATTATATATATATATATATATATATATATATATATATTATCCCTTTAAGAGCAAACACCTGAGACATGAACCGCTTCAGCAAATCAAAACAGAAAATTATAAAGATAAACTCATATGCAACATGATAAAGCTTAAAATATATTCACTAAAAATTTCAAAACATAATTCAGATAATTTAACTTTAGCTAATTTTTTTTTCACTGTCTCAAGAGGGTGAGAGGTTGAATTTCTTTAAACATGAAATTTTGGTCTGGTAGCATGAATTTTTAAGAATAATATTATTGATACACTGCGAATTTAAATTTTCCGTGCGGATATTTGGAGTTATTAGGATTTAAGATTATATTGTTTAATAAAACGGATGATAAATTAGAAAGGAAAAAAAAGAGTTCTAAGTAATTACTGCTATATGTTAATTTAATCCGCTAACAAGAACATCATTTATCTCTCACTGATCTGTCAAAAGTAATTAACACGCAGGGTGAGAGATACATGTCGGAGGCAAGCTCCTCATATATTGTTTAATTTTCTGCTTTTGAATTATATACTCGTAATATGACTGATATAATTTATAAATTTGAATACCTCTCATATATATATATATATATATATTGTGTTGTAAGAGCGAAGGCCCCTTAGATAAAGTTATAGCCTCTTGTTCCAAACAAACAAGAGACAAAAGTTCAAGTTGATTCTGCAGGGTGTGTGTGTGAGAGAGAGAGAGCATGGCAAAGTGGTGGGGTAAGCATATGTCTGTCAAGAGGAAAGCATGTTCAAGACATCCACAACGACTTGCCCCAGATGTTAGCTCATATTTTAGAGAATGTTCTCTCTCTTTTTCCCCTTCATAGGCCCTCCCCGCTCAAAATTCTGGGGCTTACCTTATCACAAACAAGAAACAACCCTTATTTATTCCTGCACGTATATATAGTACGACAAACGGTTAGATGATTTATGACAAGTATTATTTCATACAGACTTCATATTTTTCTCATTGATATCTGACTCTGTCATCTTATTTTTTGTGAAAATAAAAGGAACTTAATTTCCGTAAAACAATGCCTGCGTTCAAAACTGATGAATCAAACTGTTGTGTGTTTATATTCAAGCATTCCACGTTCCAAAATGGCAGAATCGCTTGGATAAATTTTTATTATTTACTGCGAACATATTTTTGTACGCTTTTCATAAATAAAAACCTGCATCAGTTTGACAGTTTCTATATTATGTATATTTTAGATTATTTATATAAATCATACAAAAGGAGGGGAGAAATGCTCATACCTATTTAATTAAATTTTGATGTATTTTCGTCTCTTCAGTTAGTTATGGAATAAAAATGAATCTTTGTGCAAAGTCTACTCAAATTATTGTTTATTTTACGGAAAATATTTTAAACATGAAAGGAGAGTTAGGAAAGAATATATATATATTTATATAATTACACACACACATATTATGAAGAGGCGTGAAGAGTGGAGATGAGAAGCAGCCGCGGGTCCCGTTGAAGAATCAAGGAATAGTATGTGTTAAAGATATTCTAGAGGTTAGAACGGTGAGAAGCAGATGATGCTGATATGCATAAATCTTATAATTTTACACAAGATTTTATTTTGATCATTTAATTTTAAAAAGTAAATTTTTAGTCATCTAAGCCTAAAACTGTAAACAAAAAATGATAATATTAAACTTTTGATAAAATATTACCAAATGCTAATATATTAGTTTAATATTCAAAATAACCATGATTGTTATAAAAAACCATCATTTAAGACTAATAATTTTGGGATTAAAAGACTAAAAGTATACTTTTTAAAGTTAAGGAACCAAAATGAAACCTCATGTGGAGTTAAAAGACCAAATATATACTTTAGCCATCTTATAAAATAGATATATATGACGAGAGTCACGTGCAGGTCCTAAACGAAGATAGAAGGATATTCTAGGGACGCACACGGGAAGGCCACGCAACTAAGGATTAAAAATATAAAAGCAGGCACGCAACAAAGACGAGGGGACGGATTGAAAGCAGCGAGCAAACGGTGGCAATTGGCTTATTCAGAATACATTGGTGAGCATTATTTCATTATTAACGGATTATATGTACATATTAATATTGGTTGATTCAGAATATGCACACTCCGCCTTCGGGTCATAAATATGAGCTTTTCGTTTAATTGAGTGTTTGAATTCTGACCTTTAATTTCAAAGCGGACATTTCGATGAGAACAGATAAGGTTATAGCCTCTAGCACATGATTAATTAGCTGTAATAAAGAGAAAGACATCATTAGCCATGTCGTCACAGTTAAGTTGCCTTAATTTGTGTCTTAATAGTTAGTCATAATTAAGGGAACCTGGCATGCATGGCAAATTATCTGATTAATACTGAACATGATTAAACATCTTATTTGGTTAATTAAGTGGCTTCATATGGAAGCCTTCAACTTTTACCCTCATGTGCTACTACCTACTGCTAATCCCATTTTTTTTAAAAAAAAAAAAAAAGCTTTTTCATCTGAAAAATTACTTTTATGAGTAGTAATATTTACCCCCTCTCACATTGTCAAGGCATAGCGTAGTTAGTTTTGTTGGAGAAATATTTTGCGTTTCAATTTACACGTACGTCCTCTTAAAAATTTAATGCAGCATTTATATAATAGCAATGACGTGATTATGAATACATGTGTTTCTTTATAAATTGAAATGATAATTAATTAATTAAATCTTAATTGTTGCTTGAGTGTTCATCCGTCATGTTCAAACTTCACATCCAGCAACTCCGAGAGAGAAGAAAAAGGATGGGTTTTCTATAAAGAGCCGAAACGGAGGAATAGCATCGTGACCTTATGCCGGGGAGCAATAAGCCAGACGGTGAAGAAGCGATAGAAATCGGGGAGGCCACCCCGAGCCATAAAAGTACGTATTCTAATTTCTCCAAATCTGATTTTATCATCAGATTTAATGGAGGGGTATGAATCTCCGACGATAAAATAATGCATTCACATTGAGGCATGCAAAAATATATATGAAGGATCTGGTGCATCATAATATTTGATCCCGTTAAGCTTGGAAGTTGGAACCATAAGAATGGGGTGAACTGCAAGGGCATAAGCTACCATCATACACTAATCACGACAATGTTAGTTTATCATACTCATTCCTTGTAAAATACAGTCCTCCAGGTACAGAGGTGAGAATTGTAACATGGGAAGAAATAAATAATAGAAAAACCAGCGAGTCTAAACAATGACATTACCAACTTCTACATTGAAAAGAGTGAAATTACACTAAGCAGCAGGTTTAGTTGAGTCTTCAGGCAGATCATCTTCATCATGGTATATGTTCTCAGCCATCTGCCATATTTGGAGTATGTTATCCTCAGCCACACTCGCAACAACCCAGTCTTCACATGGGTTCCAAGAAAAGTCAGATATTTTACTTGTATGACCCCCATGAATGAACAACAGTTCCGGAGGGCCATCCTCAGCATCGTCTGGCGTTTGCTCTTCATCAATCCTACAATACACAATCAATAAGTATACTGAATCTACAAGACAATATAGCCTAAAAATAAAACTAACTCGTTGTGTTGAAAAATGATGAATCAACACTACTGTTCTTTGTTTATATTCAAGCATCCCGCACTCCAAAATGGAAGCATCACTTGGAGTTATTTCAGAACTAACAGTAGCAAAGTGCAGTAAAGTACTGAGGATAACAAACTGAACAGGTTATGGGATACCTGCTAAGATCCCACACCATGAGTCTCCTACCAAGACAACAAGAAGCCAGAATAGTCTCATTTTTTGGATTCCAGCCAACCTGGAAAACCTCCTCCCTGTTGCGCACGAACAGAAATTCATTTCAACAATTGAAGAACATAGATACATCAGAAGTAAATATTGAAAGCATTAGAGTAGGACTGTTACTTGTGACAATCAAAGGTGTGAAGAGCAGTATTGATCTTGCGTAGGTCAAACAATTTCACAGTTTTATCAGTAGATCCGGTGGCTACGACCCACTCATTAAAAGGATTAAAAGCTAAGCAGTTAACCTACAAAACAATCCCAAATGAAAACCTAAATCAGTGGGCCTATTGGGAACTTCTCAAAATTTTCCAACTATATTAGAATTAAAAGAATTACAAAGCAACAAAAGCACATTGAAGAATAACACTGCAAGGCAGGTAGAAATTTTGAAGAGAAGGGAAAAATCTTATCCAAAGGCAGAGCATCAAAAGCCATAGAAGTGAAATAGCACTCACCAATGTACAGCTGAAGTTAAGGCCACAATTAATCTCGGCAGTGATTAAAACTCATGCATTTAGCTCACTGGCTTTGACATTATCAATAATAAGTCTTTCCAAATTTTGAGACAAGTACACAAGAATCTCTACTGGTTAACTCATTTCAATATGTGGATACACAGAGGACTCGTGTCTCATACGAGTGTGATAAAGAAACTGAGGCCATTGTTAGAATGTTCTTAAGCCAAATGGTTTTTTTCCCCCTCTCAACACCCCAAACCCAAAGGGGTCTCATAGAAATTATATTGAAGCTATTCCCAGTCTTTTACTTAATGTTCTTAAGCCTTTGGTAAGATGAAAACTCCGAACAATGAACCGAGTTTCAGAAAAACCCAGTATCAATAATGAGAAAGCTAACAGTTATGCAGATTCACACTTGATATGGACCAATAACATGGAAAATAGATGGATATTATATATGCTGAAATGAACACAGTAGCTCGGAACCATGCCTCTGCTCCCCCCCGCCCAAACCAAAAAAAAAACCCAACGCACACAGAGAGTTGCCTTTCGGATGCACCTCACTTTGATGAGCAACAACAGATTGGACAGGCTTGTTAGCTGATTGTGAACGGAGATCCCATATAAACAAGTATTGGTCATCACCAACAGAACCAAATAAGTATTCATGCCTCAAATGCCATGCCACGTCTTCAACAACACCTTCATGAACCTATTCAGATAAATGAAATGAAATTAATATCAGAGTTGATATGATATTGTTGGTATCATGAAAATAACAACAGTTTTTTGTTCTTAAGCTATAAATATATGGGCAAAGAAAATAGACCTAACATGTTGCAATATTGCAAAGATGCCCCCCATGATGAAGACAAGATAATGGTCAGCCGTAAAGTGTCAACCGTGCAAATAAGAATTACAGCAATTTTCCACTAATGCTAACCACACAAGAATCATGCAACATAATTATGATACAATGTGATTTAAGACTTAAAATCATCCCTCCAATATTCAATATGTAAAGTGATTTGACAAATCTGCTATGTAACACCACATCATCTGCATAAAAGTAGCCCATATGCCTTTTTAGCCACCTCAACCTGAAATCATTCAAACTTAAAAAAGCATCTAGAATTCAGATGCCTATAATTAGCAGTAAACATATATCCAAAGGAAAAAAGCATTTCTCTATGTGAAGGTTTGCTGAAACCACGGTAAACATAGAAGCAATTACACCAGGTTCAACTACATAAAATGAATCCAAAGAGGGAAGAAAATAGTACCTTGAATATCTGCATAGCCTCCAGGGTTTTGTTCTTAGGAGTTGCATTTATATCCCACAAGCATATCTGAGCATCATCAGAACCACTCAGCAAATGGCCCTGTTTGAACTTACTCCATGATAAACCATATCCTTCAGTATTGTGACCTCTCAACCTTAAATCAGGATTACATGCACCATCTAGAGGAGGCTTAGATGGATGCTTGCTATAATCAAATACATATACTTCAGCACTAACGGTCTTTGTCGCAATGATAAATGGATTTTGAGGCATGTAACGAGCCCTATTAACCTCTCCATCATGATTTATTTGCTGGATTATTTGAACCTGTAAGAAATGAACGCAACCTTAAAGATCAAATAGCATCTAAATACAAAAACTTCGACCAATACATAATCATAAAAAAAGCAAAGGTGCAAAGAGCTAAACTAAATCTGGAAAACCAGATTATGCTTGATGCTAGGCTTAAGTAATCTATCCACTGCCAGCTTAATCATCACCTCTTATATTCATTTGACTGCTGAAATGAGGAGGCCAAGAATAGCTTCTAGTGAGTCAAATTTTCTCTACCATTGCTGCGTTGCAGCATTATGCTCAAAATTATGAAGGACTGATTTGCGGGGTCATTCAATCACCAAATCGAGATTTTAATTGGATTGTTATAATATATATATGGAATCAAATTAAGAATATTTATTAAGGCTACATATGCATGCATATGAACACATTTTGACATAATTGTAGAAACCACTTTTAATGACATAAACATTAGAATTTTGCATATACAACAAATTAGGCTTATGCCCCCCCTAACATTATACATTATAAATAAATATAGCTTTATGAATTATCTACTTTAATACTTGTACATTTAAACACAGTAAGGAACACTTTTTTTTTTTTTAACAGTCTTCAAGTGTGAGTGAGTTTGATAAACAACTTCTACCCTCTGGCATAATAAAAACTAACACTTTGCTTCACTGATAAACAAGACTCAACTATGTGCACATATTTATGCATCAAATTCCAAAGAAGACAGACCCTACAGTAATTTAAGGCCTTTCTAGAGGCTAAATGGAGTTATCAAAATATACAGAACTTTTCCAAGAAGCCTCTCTCTTTCACAAGACCCAGACCCCGAAATCAATGATCAAGCATTGCCTAACTAGATGCACATGAACCAAGTAATTGTGATAAATGATAACTGCACCTCAACTTAGAAACAAGTAACATCATCAGCCCCTCTTCTGTTAGGATTTCATATATTTTGCCCAAACTTACTCAGCATCCACAGGCTTAATGTTAAATACAACCAAGTAAATTCAAGTAGAACTAAAATTTCAAATACCTTGCCATTAGCACATCCAAAGCCGCCTGCTTCAGGCCTGTCATCATCATAATGGCGCGCATCATTCTCAGCATCCTCCAAAGGTAGCTGGACTTGGGCAATCATCAAGTAATTGGGCTCATTCTCTGAGGTGTGAGTGCCCAGAATCATCTTCTGGACAGAGTAGTCCTTCCCTGGAGGCTCATCTCGATCAGGCAGCCACTCTACAGTGAGGGAAGGCCATTCTAGGGCATGGGTTATTACCAAATCGTACAAGAACGGAGTGTTTTTCTTCCATATTTTGTACTCCTCGTTTATCAGTCTCTCCTCTATCTCTCCCCGCATTTCATCCTCGTCTTTTCCCATTGCCCTTATTTTTTATATCTTCTTCTCTCGCTCTCGAGCTCTGTATGCAAGTTGCTCCCCCACAGCTGGAAGCGAGCTGGAGAGGAAATTCCTGGCTGGAAATAAAACAAGTGACAAAAAAACAAAATTAGTTTAGAAACCCACGGCAATTCTTCACATTTGATTTCGATTCATTATAAACAGCATTCAGCAACGAGAAACCCAGACGCTAAGTTTTATCCCTAACTTTATCGTGCTTTCACTCAAACGTCCAACTTGAGGAGAATTTCCCGCCAAAAGTCGGAAGCGAGATGGTTGAAGAGAGAGAAAACCAGATCGAATGTGAATGAATGGACCAAACTACGAGGCAGAACGCTCAATCGTCTCGAAGCATATACAAGTACATTGTCTGAAAGTAGAAAAATCAAAATTTGAGTCATTCAGCTTTACCTGAAATCCAGAAATGATTCAAATCTCCGCAGCTTCAGGCTTGCAGGTTCGCGCCCAAGAATGGAAATATCGACACGGCTAGATGGTGACGATGCTGAATGCTTGGATTTTACTGTCTTATAGGGCAGAAGAACAGGATTTAAGATTTAAACCCTAGGCGGGTAATTGAAAAATAGAGATGCGGTTCGCGGAAAATTAAATTAAATTTTAACATTAAAGTAAATGAAAATGTAAAATATGCAGCAATAAATTGTACTACTAATTATTAATATTATGAGGGCAAAAAAAAATCTAAAAAAATGATTGTTAAATTTTAAAATTTTAAATTAGAAATTACTACAAAAATATGTTATTTTCTTTGCAAGTATATGATAACCAATACTAATTTAAAATTTTAAAATTGAACAATTATTTTTTGGGATTTTTTCAAAAAAATTATAGTATTAATTATAAATTAATATAAACTGAGCACTTTAATTTCTTAAATAAGCTGAAAGCCACATATAAACAAAACTAATACTGTTTCTTTTTTAATTAAATTATTTAATTTTTTTTACCTAAACCAGTTTTTCCGTTTCATGACAATTAAAATTAAAATAAAATAAAGACATGTTTGTTGGGAAAAATAAAAAGAAAATAAACACATGCTTCAACGTGCCCAGAAGTCGCCATCTTTCCGTATCATTCCTCCCTCCCTGTGTTCTTGAAATGAAACTTCAAATCCACAAGCCAAGATCGATTCATTTGTTTCTGTGAAAGTCTCGAGAAGTTTTATTTCTCTCCCTGAAGATTTTCTCGGATCAGATCGTAAATCACATTCACCTGGAACAAGGCATCTAGATGGATTTGGCGCCAGAAGAGCTCCAATTCTTGAGCATTACGGATATTCTCAGAGAATCGATTTCAATCCCCAAGCGATCTCCCAAAACCTTCTATCTCATCACCGTTGCCCTAATTTTTCCTCTTTCTTTTGCAATCTTAGCTCATTCCCTCTTCACGCACCCCATCCTTGCTAAGCTCGATTCCCCGTATGATGATCCATCTCAGACCTCTCATGAATGGACCCTCCTTCTCATTTATCAGTTCTGCTACATCATATTTCTATTTGCCTTCTCTCTTCTCTCCACAGCCGCTGTTGTTTTCACCGTGGCCTCGCTCTATACCTCAAAGCCCGTTTCGTTCTCCTCTACAATTTCTGCTATACCGAAGGTTTTTAAACGCTTGTTCATCACTTTTCTATGGGTATCGCTCTTGATGTTCCTCTACAATTTCATCTTTGTTCTTTCCCTTGTCTTGATGATTATAGCAATCGATGCCCAGAACTCCTTTTTGCTTTTCTGCGCTTTGATTGTGATCCTCTTGCTTTTCATGGTGGCTCATGTGTACATTACCGCTTGGTGGCATTTGGCCAGCGTGGTGTCGGTGCTAGAACCGCTTTATGGTTTCGGAGCAATGAAGAAGAGTTACGAATTGTTGAAAGGGAGGACCAAGTATGCGGCGATTCTTGTGTTTGTATATATGATCAGTTGTGGGGTAATCGGAAGCTTCTTTAGTTCCATTGTCGTGCACGGTGGAGATGATTATTCGGTGTTCTCACGGATTGTGGCCGGTGGGGTCTTAGTTGGCTTGTTGGTAATTGTCAATCTGGTTGGTTTGTTGGTGCAGAGCGTGTTCTACTATGTTTGCAAAAGTTACCATCATCAAGGAATCGATAAAAGTGCTTTGCATGATCATCTTGGTGGCTATCTTGGAGAATATGTGCCTCTAAAAAGCAGCATTCAAATGGAAGATTTGGCTGTGTAATGCATGGTGAGTTTGCAGAGAGAAAATTGTGGTAACATGTAATTTCAGTTCTTTGTTCTTCATCGAAAGAATGTAAGATGAGCGGGTACAGGTTTTATAGTTTGTATGTTGAATTTTAATGTTGTGCAGTGTTCCTATTTGTTATTCTGAATAAGCTATTGAGTAAATGCCTTTTTAGCAGCTGATACGTTGTTGACATTGTTAATTGTTATCACCCTGTAAAGGATTTTCATTGTTCATTAAATCAAATGATCCTTTTCCCTATATATAGAAGTAAACTTTCTAGTTGGCTAACAAAAAAATTACTTTTATAAGGTGAATGCCTTGAGAACGTGAACCGTTTTTAACTGTCAACGACTTTCGGGATTGTCAAATCTAAAACTGATGAAATCTTGAGGGCAAATTCTGTTTATGCTAGTGCTGCCTTGTGTAAGTTCATTAATTAGTAGTCCCTTTTGGGGAAGTGGCGTGCATGCTGAATATTCAAGCTTCAGAGTCTAGTATGTGCCTTAGCAAAGGAAAAGTAGCCTTTTCTTGCTTTCATAAAATGCTGATTGTTTCATGAAAAGCGCCAAGAGCTGTTACAAGATAGCTGATTGTTTGTTTTCCATCTCTCTTGCTGCGCACTCTAGAATGTGCCATTTCTCACCCGCAGGTCGGGGATGTAAATCCTGTCTGGTGCAACTTTAATTTTGTTAATCCTCTTCTGTTGGGTGATGAGGATAGAAAATGGGAAGAGAAGCGGAAAGAAGATAAGATAGAGACAGGAGACAGAGAGAAAATTGGAGGGAATAGGATCGAATTACTCTAGCAATCAACAACTAAAACACCCTTTTTATTCTGCACAAATAACCGCTTATTTATGCCCCTAGCTAATGGTCATCTCAATTCTCTCCCTAACTGGCCCCTATAAGTACTATTATATCTATTACTATTTACATATCAATACTCCCCTCCCCAAAAGACCCTTGCCCTCAAGGGTCAAGTAGAACAAAAATGCGAAAGTAAAGGTGAAAAGGTGCACCTCTTGGTGTATCATTGACAAGGACAAAATCGTGCAAAAACTATTGATTAAATTTCTCATTCTGTTCGCATATGATGGCGAATGGTGAGCATCCTACAATTGCTAGTATGGGGAGAACTATTCTTTTTGTAATCCCTTTATTTGAAGGATATTTTTAACATTCCTTTAGATCTAGAATACGGAAGATGTTAATTTGGCTCAGTTTGGATTATATTTCTACTATGTTAGCCATCCACCAATGTGATGACAGATTACTATTGTTATGGCAAAACTGCATATATTGAGCAATTGCAAACCTATCCTGGGTAAACTGTTCTTCTATGTTTAGCTTGCCTCTGTTGCTAATTACCTCCTTCTTTTTAGTATTTTACAAACTCCGGCATGTAGCCTGCAACAATGATGCTTATACGTTGCATACTCGAGTCTTAGGGAGAATGATATGCTCATTGTACTTATTTTGATTCACATTTTCTGCCTCTCTTCTGATGTGTGTCATTTTTCCTCCTCTTTATACTACATTAATTATCTCAAAGGACAAATCACCTACTTTTGCAGCAAGCTTGGTGCATTTGGTTTATATGCTCCTATAATATTGCTTTGTCTTTTATTCTTCATTTAGGTGCACTTGCAAATTGGTTGTATCTCGGGCTGAACAACCTTTAGTTTAGTATAAATATATTTTCTCTATTCTGTATAGTTCTATTTGGCGAAACATCAGAAAAATAATCTTTCAAGAGGAAGAGAAGGCCAAAGGCCAAACGAATTAGATTAGGTGAGTTGGTCCCCTGAAATAGTGTTAAACTCATGAAAAAGCTAAGAAAGATCATTTGTTATAACTAATCTTGCTGTTGATGGTGTTAGTTAGAATGTAGTTGTTCCAATACGACATTGCTTTTGCCTTTGGAGTTTGGAATGTTCTCAATAATAAACTCTTTTTTTAGCCAAAAATGTTGTCAACGTATAATAACTAGCAAGTCTTTTATTGGTGGATGACAGAATCCTTTCCCTTGGTTATGGATCCCCTAATCCCGTTTCTTTTCCTGCTTTGTTGAAAATTACTCGACTTTAAGGTTGTAAGCATGTGTTTATTATTGCTGTTATGTTTTTCCTTTAAGTTGGTCCACTTCTCATGTATGAAAGAATGAAAGATGAATCGTACTATTCATGGTATTGGAACAATGCGACTTTGTTATAGATTTTTTTAGTATTTTAATATTGATATTGATACTTTGATTCATGTTCTCAGGACTATTTAATCATGCAGAGACTCTGCAGATGGTTGAACTGAATCTGCTTTAAAGCTGCAGTATGAAACTTTGCTTGGATTGAAGCCCTACCTTGATAACTCCCTTTCCCGGGTTTTTCGGTTGAGGAACCTCGTCGACTCTGTGGCCAGTTCAGTCGTCAATGATGCCGTGACTTTTTGTTGTCAAAATCTGCTCATGTTATATTGTTATATTCTTTTTTTTTTTTGGCCAAATGCTCATGTTATATTCAATCTGTTTTTTTTATTAAATATGTGGAGATGCTAGTTTGCATGTAAATTCAAAATTCTTTTGTCCAAAAAAAATTCTCTGTACTTGAGGAAATATTTGACTTTTTTTTAAAATGTTTTTAAGGAAATGATAGAGGGACTTCGTCCAAAAATAAAATAAAATGTTTAGGTCTGATTCATTATGATATTAGGATCTTGAGCTACTATTTTGCTATTTATTTGACAGAATATGCTAGCTTAAATTTTTAATTTTTGTGTATAAAATGTTGTAATTTTTTTATAATCTTAAATTTGTAACAAATAACAAAATATCATTTAAATACTGCCTCTAACTTTGGATGCATTAGATGCCAAAATTTGGTGACAATAAAAGCAAAATTTCTTCTGTCAATGAATTACAATTTTAAATTTGTTGGCAAAAAATATTACGATTTTAGATTTGACATGTACAACAAAACTAGATGTGAGCTTCTTCAATGAAACGTGAATAATGATTAATAATTCAAATTTTTATATATAACAAAAACAAAATGTGGCCCTTGTCTTTTGTATGCTTTAAAAGTAAAATTTCAATATATTATTGATCAACTTATGAGAATTTAGTTTATAATTCATAAAATTGCGAATTTAATTCCTGATATGAATACGAGAATTTTATTAATGAACAATTTATAAATACATTTACAGTTCTTCTTTAATTATAGAGTAATATCCCTAGTGAGTTAGATCATGGGTGATTTTAAATAAAAATTAATAAATAAAAATAACTGTAACTGTAAGAGTAATACTAATATTGTGCTGCTGGTTAAAAAAAAAAAAACTAATATTGTGCTGGCCAAAAAAAAAAAAGAAAAAGGATTGTGATCATCGTGCGGTAGAGAAAGATTAAATAACATGTTTCCCTTTCTAACTAAACGGGCCATTGTCGGCTGAAGCCCGCCATCTTTACACGTCATCTTTCCCATCTTCCACCTGCCGACTGGAATCGCGAAGACTAGAACTTGGGAGCCACATCCACAAGTCAAGTTCGGTTCTTTTTTCTCTCCAAGTTTCTCAGAGCACCTCTCACATCCCCATCTCAGATCGACGAGCAGCTGCGCCTTTTACATCCACCCCAGATGGATCTAGCCCCGGAAGAGCTTCAATTCTTGAGCATCCCAGATATCCTCAGAGAATCCATCTCAATCCCCAAACGATCCCCGAGAACCTTTTATTTGATCACCGTTGCCCTAATTTTCCCTCTTTCATTCGCAATCTTAGCTCACTCCCTCTTCACTCACCCTATCCTTGCTCAGCTTCAATCCCCTTATGACGATCCGTCTCAGACCCCTCACGAATGGACCCTGCTCCTCGTTATTCAGTTCTGCTACCTCATATTCCTCTTTGCTTTCTCTCTCCTCTCCACCGCCGCCGTGGTTTTCACGGTCGCCTCTCTCTACACCTCCAAGCCGGTGTCCTTCTCCTCGACTTTATCAGCAATCCCGAAAGTTTTTAAGCGATTGTTCATCACTTTTCTCTGGGTATCGCTCTTGATGTTCGCTTATAACTTGGTCTTTGTTCTCGGCCTGGTTATGATGATCATAGCAATCGATACCCAGAACACTGTTTTGTTCTTCTTCGCCATGCTTGTGCTCCTCATTCTGTTTTTGGTCGTTCATGTGTATATCACTGCTTTGTGGCACTTGGCCAGCGTGGTGTCGGTTCTGGAACCAGTTTACGGTTTTGCGGCGATGAAGAAGAGTTACGAGTTGCTTAAAGGGAGGACCAAGTATGCAGCTTTTCTCGTGTTCGTTTACTTGATCTGCTGTGGAGTGATTGGAGGCATATTCAGCGCCGTTGTTGTGCACGGTGGGGGTTATCATGGGGTGTTCACGCGGATTGTGGTCGGTGGATTCTTAGTGGGCGTATTGGTGATTGTCAATCTGGTTGGGTTATTAGTGCAGAGTGTGTTCTACTATGTATGTAAGAGTTACCATAATCAAGGGATTGATAAGCTTGCTCTGCATGATCATCTTGGTGGCTACCTTGGAGAGTATGTGCCTCTGAAAAGCAGCATTCAAATGGAAAATATGGATGTATGATGCAGGGAGAGTTTACTGGGAGAAAATTGAATTTACTTGGAATGTAAGCTCATTTATGTATCCTGTAATGAATTAGTGTAGAATGTAGGGGGGGGGGGGGAAGGTGGGGTAGACTTTATAAATTGTTGGGTTAATTTTGAAACTGTGCAGTCTTTTCATTTGTTTCGCTGATAGCGCATCTTGCATACTCTGAGACAATAATGTGATATTAATTTTAATGGTACTCCATCAATTCATGGTTTCTGGTTTTTGCTTGCGATCTCTGATCCTAATAAGTTTTAATCCCTGACAATTGAAATACCCCTTTTTACAATATTAGGTAGTATCTTAGGAAACCTAGCTTTGTGTTTCAGACTGTACGTTTTGTTTTGGCAATTGGACATCCTTCTGTGTCATAGGCTCTTGGAAGGCCCAGCTTTTTTCCTTGTTACAGGCTCTTTTTTGTTGTATGACAAATATTTTTCTTTTGTTTGGTGTTGCTCTGTGTTTAAAAAGGGAAAAAAAAACGTAGATTCTCGCATTTCTTAGCGGTGCAGTATTTGTGCTGTCGGTTATTTGAAAGCTGAAAATGCACCATTTAACAATTTATGAAGGTGTCCTTCCTGATTGGCTGTATTCCTCCTAGTTTATGAATAAGCATTGCTGCATATGTTAGATGGAACATTTTTAAAGTATTCCTGCAAGAAAAGAATATGAGAATTGAGAAAAAAACCTAAAGAATCGATTCAATGAGAGGGTCCAGTAGAATGGCATTAAATTCATGGTAGAGTCAACTGAGATAATTTCTATATGATCTAATCGTTGGTTTTGATAGTCATTGTTGGAATCTAGTGGCTCTTCTGGAGGTGTCCTTGGCCTTAGAAATTGTTCTCTTATATTGCAATTAAGGCATTGTAGGCCTTCTGTTACAAACGTCAGGGGTCTGTGTTGCACAAAATAATAGTAAAAGCAAGGACCAGAGCATAAGGAGGTGATGGATCTAACATCGTAGGTGATAGTGCGTACATGGGGAAGAGAGAATGAGGCCCTGAGTGGTAACTCTGAGGTACGGTACCAGCATGGAGAGAATGTAGAGAGAGTCTGGCCTCTCAAAAGCCAGGAGTCCTTTTGGTTTATCTTCTTTCTTTCTTGTTTTATCTTTTATGCCCTGTAATTGGTGGTTATTACTTCCTTAGTTCTCTGTTAAGACGAGGGCCTTGTAGCTCTTTTCACGTAAATGAGAGTTTAGCTTCATCAGGACGAATATTTTTTAAGGGCCAAACTGAGTTTTCCTTCGCCCTCTCTTGGTACATGGCAAAAGCCTGTCCCTGATTTAGCAATCTACTGCATTTTATAGGTCTATTTCATTGCCTTCTTGCTTGCAAATACTTCACATTTGAGCTTTCAAGGCTTGTATCCAAGTACTGCTGTATTATGCCGTTGCTACAACGTTCCTAGACTGTTTATTTAGTTACAGTTCGTGGGATCATTGAATCAAATTCCATTATTCAGTATGAGACTGTGCTTAAGCTGAGAAGAAATGGAGAGTGAAAAGGGAGAGAGGAAGAACCCGTTTTATTAAATATAAACCAAAGAAAATGTGTAAATTGAACTTTTCTTTCCCTTCTTGACTTCTGCTGAATTTGATTAGACCCTAAAGCTTCATTGTTAGACCTTGATCAGCATGAAGCCTTGACCAGGAATGCTACTGCCAATGGCTAGGTGTCATGGCGGCGTGTCAATCCACCTCGAAGCAAGGAGGTTACAGGTTCAAACTTGTGGGGCGCGAGTTTATATAATGGTATTGGACCACCTAACCGTTTCAACTCTCTATATGACCAACATGATCATCAACTAAATTCCCATTTTTGTTCTGCAGAAGTGCCCCTTCTGTGCTTACTGCGACTTTTCAAATGGTAGTAAATGGGAATGCTGTTCAGGGGGATTCTTATTCCAAATCGCAATGCTCTGTTTTGTCCTAGTGACCATTTGCCTTTTCCTTGATCTTGAACGTGGAATGAATTTTGGTAAAAAAAAAAAAAAAAAGTGAATGAATTTCTTGAAGGGAAAAGAAAACTTTTTTTTGGGTGCCCAGAGTATCTTCAGGGTACTGTCAGGCACCGTAGCAGGGATTCCTCCCAACAATAGCTTTTTCATACACACTATGTTAAGGATCGAACTCAGAACATGATGTTTAAGGTGTTTAAATTCTTTCTATTTGGATCAACACTTGTTAGTTGAAGGAAAAAGAAAACTTAGCCATACCTAATAACTCAAACGCGTTCTGGGCCCCAAAATGTGGATTTGAGAAACGAAAAAAGATAAAATATCATCATTGTAATTGGCAATGATAAAGTGATTTTCTTAGAAAGGGAGTCTTTAACCATTTAAGGTTCTTCAAAACCCTTGACACGTGGAAATTTGCTTTAGCATGCGATCATGTAATGTTAAAACTCATTCATATTTTATTTAGGCGTTTGCTCTTCTAATCAATATTTCAATTTATATACAAAAATTTGTTTCTAAACACCTGCCTGTGCTGCTCTGCCCTTGGGCACAAAGGAGGCTGTAATTCTGCCCTTTCTCTTCCATGATACCCTAACAGCGACGCCGCATTCGGCTGATGACTCCCTGTTTTTAATTAGATTTAAAGTATCCTACCTTTATATTCTTGATATATAAGAGCTAGTTAACTAATTTGAACAAATTAAAAAAATTTGTTAAGTTAGTTATTTATAATAATTAGATGTTATCTTTCGTAGACTGTTCTTACTAATTATGTATATTAGCTATTACTAGTATTTAATAGAATTTTTAATGTGTCACGACTATAAGAAGTACTTTAAAAAAAATAAATATGATAAACAAAATGAATTGGGATTATATATTTAGAATTAATTAAAAGTTAAACTTGCAACAGAGGTAGTATATGAGAAGTAATCAATGCCGTTATTGAAGCATTTTCGCTGGTTTATGAGAATAATTTAGTGTCGGCAAAAAAATACGACGTCGCAGGGGGAGAGCCGCGGGAAGAGTCTTGGCAGGCCGGGGGGAGCTCCGTTCTTCGCCTGGTGTCGGGCCGATTGAGATTGAGGGGGAGGCGGATCGTTAGTGATCTTCATCGACGAGAATGGAGGACCTGGGAGCTGGAGGGAGGGAGGCACGAGCTGAGAAGGGGCGCTATTGTTAATAATCTTCTTTATCTTCTTTGTCTTCTCTGGCGGAGTGAAAACCGGGGAGGGAGGCGCTGGCTTGGGACCTTCATCATCGAAGGCGAGAGAGGAGTTGCAGAGGGGAGTGCGACTCCATCTGGTTTCTTCTTCAGTGACACCTTCTGGTTCTGGAGCAGAGGAGGACGCTGTTTTCGACTGGGTTCCTTTCAATACTTCTTCGGCGACTGAGAACGTTATCCGGCGTCATTCTGATTCATGAGCACTCTATTTTCCTTTTTGTCCTTTCCATTTGGACCATACAATCCACCTTTCCCATGCACTTGTGCACTTGTCACTGTGGACTTGGGCAAGCCATGCACCGCTAAGAGCTGACGGAGAAAAGGGGATTGACGCTGGAGTTGACGACGGTGATCAAATTCTAATGGATTAGAGTATGTGCGAGGCAAGTTTCGCATTTCATCAAACTTTCGATTACGCATTGAGTTAGAACATTATTGATAGTTCTCTTCATCGCTCCATTGAGCTGGTTTGGTTTCCTTGGCTGGTGAAGCTGAGGCCACGGCTTCCATAGCAATCGGCGGCGTCGATTCTGATGGGGTTGCAGTCAGTCGGTGAGATCTTTACGTTAGGATATGTAGTGCGGTGCGGTAGATTTGTTCTTTTGGTAACGTGGCATTACCGCGGCCGTAAGATTAATCTAATGGCTAATTTTTAATCTGTATTTCTCTGTTTCTTTTTGCGGGAGCACAGAATCCGAATCCTTGAGGGCATATTATCACTCGGCCTGAGTCTCCCGAGTCCTGAGTCTCCAGCTCCAACGTAACTTTCAAGGGGGAATACAGTATTGAAGCAAAGGTTTTTCCTTTCTTTCCCGTATTCTCCTTGCGACCGCACGAAGAGAGAAGCGGATTCGGCCTTCGACTTCGACCACACCAGGCAGTACCAAACCACCAGAGCTGGGCAGGTTCGGCTTTCGGTCTTTTAAACTATGTTTTGAATCATCGATTGTTCTTCGAATGACGTATTCTGGTCTGATGCTCCTCTCATCTTTTCGATGGTTGCATTTCGTTGCATATAGCAAAAATAAATAACTAAAACAAAATAAAAAAGAATGTGACATAGCTTTGTTGGGATGCTGGATCCATGAGTCCCGATGAAGCTGGCGAAATAGGAAGAGAATGCAAAAGGACTAGAAGAACCTGGTTATTAGTGTTGTGCTTGGTCTTGATCTATTTCGTATACCATCTTGCTTTAACTCCTTTTCTGCCGTATCTTTTTTTTCCCCCAAAAACCAAAAGAGTCCTATTGATACTGTATTTTGTTTTTTGCAAAGAATTTTTCTCTATACTTTAGACATTATTTCTTGTCGCATTGGCTGCTAGTTTTAGCTTTTCTTTATTAGACAATGCTTGGTAACTAACAGGTTTGAAGAAAATTTGGAGCGGCTATGCTTTCTTGAATTATATCGCTTTGATTGGTATTTGTTTCATATTCCTTTGTTGATATGCCTCGTGTGCTAGTTATATATATGAAGAATTGCTTGCTGCTTTAGGTTTCAATTGCTATGTTTGTTTTGGGACTTAATGGGTATACGAAACATGACTTCTTATATAGACTATTAACATTTCTGTGCTTTTTAGGGTTGATCTTATTTGCAATGGCTGCTTCCTCCTCTCTTTCCTCCTGCATGATGCATAAAGAGGCACATGCTCTGAACATATCAAAGCGCTCTAAAGATTTATTATGTTATCATTGGAATAACTCGTACAAGTCACCTAATCATTGGAAGTCAATTTCACAAAGAAACCGCATCCATTGTCAAGCTCTGAAAATTGAACACCCATCGTCCTTGTCAGTGGGTCAGAAATTTCAGCTTGATGATGTTATTGAAGCGCAACAGTTTGACAGAGACACTCTGAATGACATATTTCAAGTTGCACGAGAGATGGAAAACATTGAGAAGAACTCACCTGGTAGCCAACTTTTAAAGGGTCATCTTATGGCTACCCTGTTTTATGAGCCCTCTACTAGAACCAGACTTTCATTTGAGTCTGCCATGAAAAGATTAGGTGGTGAGGTTTTGACAACTGAAAATGCGAGAGAGTTTTCATCAGCAGCCAAAGGAGAGACACTAGAAGGTGAAGTTTCTACTTTATACTTAAAGTTCCTCTTGGATGTTTTTTCTTCAAGTTCTCATAGATATTTTATTGCAGATACAATAAGAACAGTGGAGGGTTACTCTGATATAATTGTGATGAGGCACTTTGAAAGTGGTGCTGCCAGAAGAGCTGCTGCTACAGCTGGCATTCCTATAATCAATGCTGGGGATGGTCCTGGGCAGCATCCCACCCAGGTATGCCTGAACTTGACAGGGTATAGGGCACTGCAACATATTTATGCTTCAAAAAGAATGACATATAGACTAGACGAACGATAGGTTGTTCTGCTAGAAAAACCAGCTTAGGCTACTAATCTCGTTTTCTTTTCAAATCTTCATCCTTCTATTTCGCCAAAGGACTTGACCAACAGCTCGTTTGGAATGAATAACGTTGAAGGTCAAAGTCTGAGTCTTTCCTTATAGGACTATGAACTGTTTCAATTTGATCTCCGAGGACCTAGAGTTGATATCAGAGAGGAGTGTAGTTATGTATCCATTAACTCTTGTGGAGAGAAATTAATTTTGGTTGAGGGAGTTTTATGGTCCTTGCTGTGGAATGACCAATGTTTATATGGCAAATGCTGCACCCATTGACATTGATTTAGGGAACTTTTCACCTTGCTTAAAACTTTGCACTTTACTCTTTCTTCTACTGGTCTTTTGTGTGTGTGTGTGTGTGGAAGCCTGAGATTGTATCTAATTGTAACTTTTGGGTATGTCTTGTGTGAATCTTGTGTTTTTAGAGCCATTATGAGTTAGATATTACGAATTTCTTTTTAACTGTGTTTGAATTACCTTTTTTCCCCTTCTAAAGATGATTGTACGTTTTGTGAATCAAGGAAAGACGCCAAGAAGCAGCTTTCTCTTGCCACTGGTTTTATGCTATTTTCTTCATAGTTATTTGAGGTATATTTAATGTAAGGTCTTGTTTTATGTTGTCATTGAAGATATAAATGAATTGCTATGTTGTATGGACATTGACATGAATCAAAATGTCTTGAGTTTGAAACATGTGTCAGACACAATAAAATTTTGTTTTGAGTTATTGCTTCATAATTTGTATGAGAAGCTGAGATCAAAATTTTACTGCTTTTTCGAACTACACAGGCACTTTTGGATGTTTACACCATTGAAAGAGAGATAGGAAAGCTTGATGGAATAAAAGTTGGGCTTGTGGGAGATCTTGCTAATGGAAGGACAGTTCGCTCACTTGCATACTTGCTTGCCAAGTACAACGATGTGAAAATTTATTTTGTCTCTCCCGATGTAGTCAAAATGAAGGTACTTGTTTATCATACTTTAATTTTTGATTGAGCACAAACAATATTTAGAGAAGTTGCTAACATAGCGGTTCTTGGTAGTCATATTTTGAGCAAATTAACATATTTGGATCCCAAAATGTTATCGCTTTTCTTAAATCCTTGAGAGAGTATTTCACCTTCAATATTATTTTCATTTTCTTTTCTTTTTTTGGGCCTGAAATATTATTTTCGACAGATATAAATGACAGTCTTATGAGAAAGTTGATCTGGTTGTTAAATGCTCATCTCTGTCATTGAAATGTGTCATGGTAAAGCATAATGTCATTTAAATTGGCCATAACTTTCAACAGATATAAATGACGCAGTCTTATGAGAAAGTTGATCTGGTTGTTAAATGCTCATCTCTGTCATTGAAATGTGTCATGGCAAAGCATAATGTCATTTAAATTGGCCATAACTTTCAACAGATATAAATGACGCAGTCTTATGAGAAAGTTGATCTGGTTGTTAAATGCTCATCTCTGTCATTGAAATGTGTCATGGCAAAGCAAAATGTGATTTAAGTTAGCCATAACATGCTGTTTTGGTGTCCTGTTATGACATCTAGCCATTTAAAAGTTACACCAATTACAAGTTAGACCATTTCGTGCATTTCTTTAGATTGTCTTAATATTGAAGATGCTATACTCCATAGAACAGAAATAAGACATTCAAGTTTTGGAGGATCAAATTGAAACAAAGCGTATTCTCTTGTAGGACGACATAAAAAGCTATTTGACGGCAATGGGAGTGAAGTGGGAAGAAAGTGCTGATTTGATGGAAGTGGCTTCTGAGTGTGATGTGGTCTATCAAACTCGCATTCAAAAGGAGAGATTTGGCGAGAGGATTGACCTATATGAAGAGGCTAGAGGCAAGTATATTATAAATAAGGATGTTCTCGGAGTGATGAAGCAGCATGCGGTGGTGATGCACCCTCTTCCCAGGCTTGATGAGGTAAGCAAGCTGATTCTTATCATACCGCTCTTAAGGGCCTAAAACAGTATTTCTATGTATTGTTATTGCCGTATTTGCTAACAAACACTTCTAATCTTGTCCTTTACTGATGGCTTCTGATTTTATCTATGCAGATCACCGTGGATGTTGATTCTGATCCCAGGGCTGCTTACTTTAGGCAGGCAAAAAATGGTCTATACATTCGGATGGCCCTTTTAAAACTCTTGCTTGTTGGGTGGTGAGGTTGCTTTCGTCTTCAGAATGAATCCCGATGCTGATGTCATAATTGAACTTTTGTTTTTGGCCCTGAAGCCTCCTTGTATTTTCTTGAATTTGATCTTTCTGTTCGCTGCACCATGTGCAATGTGTTTGTTTGCAAAACATGCTAACTAAAAGGTGTCCAAGAGGGGAGTGATGATCTGGTGAATAAATCTTCAACTTAAAACTCCAAGTTCATGGTAGCTAAGCAATTCTCCTTACTTCGGAGTATTAAATTACTGACTCAGTGACTCTATCGATGTTAAGCGCGTTCTTTTAAAATTAATTGCTTGCATTTTAGTTCAATTTCCAATTAGCTCTTGACGGCATTTTTCTTAAATTATGACATTATGAGAAAATTGTGGTAAAAATCCTCGTGACCTCAAGAGTTGTCCAGGCTTCGTTATTTCAGATAGCCAAAATCTTACAATCTGGGAAACACTTGGTCACGTTACATATAGCTAAATTTTATAATTTCAATGTTTGTGTGTAATAGCATTAATTGATTGGTGGAAGTAAACAGTCTTGTTTTAAACAATTAGTCTTATTTTAGTATTAAGTTTAGAACATATCGGATCTCGTCAAATTTGTCTGTCATGTGATAATTCACCCACAAGTTCATTGATTGGAGACCCTCACATATAATTTTTTATGGCCAAAAAAAAAATAGTGTTTTAACCTTTATGAAAATTCTGGCCGCTCTCGATTCTGGTCCACTCTGGGGAACAAAGGAGACTTCATAGGTGCGCTCAAAATCATTTTTATCATATGTGGGACCCATTTAGGTATGCTGATTCTTTAATTCAATATAGTATTCGCCTCCAATGTTTGTTACTTCTGATTCTTAATATAAAATCTAATTTAATTTTTAATTTTATTTTAAATATAAGGTTTCAGCATACCTTATCTTTTATATTTATCGAGTTTTTCAAAGTACTTGTTGTAGTGGTTGTATATACTAAAGGTTCTATTAAATAGTAGCTTTAGTTAATACATATAATTAGCAAGAATATTTTAGGAAATGTAATAGGGGTGTGCGTGGATTAGACTGGACCGGGTTTGTTATCAACCCGAAGTTTGGTCCAGTAAAGACCTCGGGCTGAAAAAAACAGCCCGAGGTCTGGTCCAGTCCAGTGCCAACCCGAGGTCGGGTTGGACTGGACTTGGTCCTCTGGACTGCCTGGACCAATCCAAGCAGTCCAGAGCTAATTTTAATTTTTTTAAAAAAAAAATTTTCTTCAATAGGAGGTAAGATTGTAACTTATTATATAAAATTTTACACATATTTTAATTCAAAATTTATCAAATTTGATCATTCCTTTTCAATTTTCCAATGAAGTCATGTTTTATTAATTAATTCTCATCAATATAGATCTTAAATTGTAGAAAATATATATGCATACTCATTACTTCGAAAGTTAATAGATAAATCTTAATTATTTGAATAGATAAAAAATTTATATAGAAAAATTAAATCAAATTAAAATTATATAAATAATAATTTAAAAAAATCGGGCTAGACTGGACTGGACCAACTGGTCTGAGGGGTCAGTCCCTAGTCCAGTCCAGCCCGATGAAACCAGTCCGGTCCAGTCTGGTCCAGTCTTGTTTCGGGCCAATTTTTTCTGGACCGGACTGGACCGGGTTTGTTCGGGTTGGACCGGACCATATCGGACCACCGGGTTTTTGCACAGCCCTAAAATGTAATATTTATTTTTTTAAAAATAACTAATTTAACTAATTTTCTTAATCTCTCTAAAGTAATTAATGAAATCTTATATTAAAGATCAAAAGCAGTATAAGCTCTTGATAAGGATTTTACACAAATTGATGAAATCAATTAAAATGTTTCTCTGAAAATCACTAACTAGAAATGTTTGAATAATTAGCTAGGAAATAGGTTAGGGAAACTAGGTGAAAAAAATTACTAAATATTTTAAATAAAGCATGTTATATTATGAAATATAATGGAGGTTTTTACAATGAATACTTGAGGGAATATAGAGTATAATTTAAATCATAAATTGTATAGTTATGATGTAAATTGCTTGTATCTGAATTCCATTTCTGGCGGCTTTTCTCACATGCTACCCCACTTTGTGAGATTAAACTAAAAAATGGATCCCGCACGTACGTGTTTTCGATCACATCTTGACTCCTTGTCTGATATTGTTAAATAATAAACTGTCATTATTATTTTACTTTTTAATTAGAGTTCGAATTCGATTTGGCCAGAGAAAGATGGGTGGGGGTTGAAATCTTCCTACTTAAATAATCAGAGAAACGTAAACCATAAAAAATGTTTTAAAATTAGATAATCACTGAATCAATCCAAAAAAAAATGTTAGTTTAAATTTCATAGATTCCACGAGTGATTTGATTGTAATGGTTATTAAAATGATCATAACTAGTTAATATAGTGCTAATTTCATATGTGAAAGTGTCTTATGAAGATAAATTTTAATTAATTTTACTTACTTTTTATCATTTTTTATTTTTTAAATAGTTTGAATAAATCCAAGTCCAATATATTAATGAATTTTATTCACTTTTTATGGGTTCAATTGAATGAATTAATAATACTCCCCACAGACTTAAGAAGATACTTTATGATAAACGCATGCCACATGCTTGTTGGCAAGGCTGTATTTTGTACTCATTCCGTCTCTTTTTATAAGCAATGATTATCATTTTTTTCTTTAAATATAAATAACATTTGCAAGTTATTTTAAATTTTTATAGTAAATATTTTATTTTGCTGACATTAATTACTTGTTTTAATATTTAATATATTTATTATCTTATTTTTCAAATCATTATTTTTTTCTTCCTCACACATTCTCTCTCTTTCAAAACTCTCTTTGTTATAATACCTTTGGTTTTAATAATAAGACTTTATTTGTAAACTACAAATGAGATCTTATTATAACGACAAGAGATGGTAATAATTTTGTTATTCTTATTCTTATACCCTATCTGTTTCAATAAATAAGGGTATATTAAAGGAAAAACTTTCAACTTTTACATATTTATTGTTTTTAATCAATTTTAACTAACTTTTTTAGCTCTGTGATGAAGTCTAAAGTTGCTAATAAAAAAAGATGGAGGGAATGCTTTTTTATCCAAAGCAAAACTTGATTTATTTAAAGGCTAATCCCATGTTTATCTCAAAAATATTTATGAAGAAAGCATGGACGAGCTAAAGAAAATTGTAAGTAATGTCAAACCTTTTTAAAATGGAGGAATTAAAATGAAGTTTCAAGAAATAAAAATAACTATTAAAAAGTCTCAATAACAAATTAAAAGTTATCATTTTTTATTTTAGAATTTGTCAGACTGCTTAATTATTATGAAGATTTTTTAATAATTATATTTTTTTAGGAGTTTATTACAATGTTTCCTTTTAAAATCCATTCAATTTTACCTTATCTACCGTTAAAGTTGGGTACAACAATTCTCAGCCCGCATTAATGATTATCTTAAAAAAATAACATGACATCAATTTTTTTAAAAAAAATTATACATCATCACCATGAGAAAAATATTTTCAACCACGACTTTCAGCCAAAACACCATTGTCCTAACTACCTGGAATAGTCTATGGGACAATAATTTTTAAGGCATTTTTTTTCAATGTAAATTGTTTCGTAATTTTCTTTTATAATGTTCATCAGTC